CCCCCCCCCCCCCCCACCCCTCCTGTTTTTGTCTCTCAGTTTTGTCCAGTCTGTCTGGGTTTCTCTTGATTGCAATCTCCTTTTCTCTGTCTCTCTCTTCCTGCAGCATTCAGAAAAGAATTTCAATCCCAACTGCTCCTTTTGGAGCTACTCCAAGCGCACCATGACGGGATTCTGGTCCACGCAGGACTGCCGACTGCTAGCCACCAACCGCACACACACCAGCTGCTCCTGCACCCACCTCACCAGCTTTGCAGTGCTCATGGCTCATATGGAGGTCAAGGTATGCTGTTTTTTTTTTTTTTTTTCATACACGATGTGGAAGAAGGAAGTTATTTATCATTTCATTACTAATTAAAGACCTAGAATCACTTGAAGGAATTCATGCGGCTCGGTTAGTCACTTGTAGATTTATATCCAAATATGGCTTTTTGAAGGGGTCAATGATGTGGTATCTAACAGACTGACCATAGTTTCAATAATTATTGGCAAAGTTTTAAACACAGGTCTTGTGCAATCAGTTGGATCTCGAGTTGAAAATCAATCACAGCTACTACCTCACTGTATTTTAACTCAAAACCTGTGAAACAGGTTGAGTCATAGCCATTTTTTGTTTCCTAAAATTGATTAGCTGTGGCAGCCACCTTTACTGTAATAAGTCAGTCAGTCATCGATGTCCCTCCAATGATTGATTTCTTAATGTTTCACTGAATTCTGTTGAATGGTGTGTGAAAAATTTAGCCAACTGCTCAAAGGGCACACATAGACAAAAAAAGAATATCGCTCTGCGTTTTTCTTTAGCAAAAGGCAACATGGACTGGCAAGCTGGTCAATAGACTGATCCAGATCATGACAATGAACTGGCAGACTATTATGCAACACTAACAATCACATCTCAGAGTTCTGGTCTGCTATTAAAAAGACCCCAACAGAACAAAGCTTCAGATCCCATTTTGCTGTGAAAGTGTTATTTGATTAGAAGGTGAGAGCATTTATTTGGATATCTGTGAGCTGCAGTGGGTGGTGGATAAAAGCATTACTGTCCTGAAGTGTGTGGGATAAGCACTTTTCAGCTCCCTCTTTTGTTAGACTGAGCTCCTTTCCACAAATCGAGCTCTTGTAACTCTGGATACTGTGCGACAGCCATTGTCTCCCCCTGGGCCGGAGGGATATGTGTTACATCTAAAGAGGTCATGGTCAGAGCTGGCTTGGCAGCCCTCTGTGAACACTGTGTGAGGTTCAGAGCAGTAGATCCATCACAGCAATGTTATGTTGAACATTGCTCTGCCTGCCAGCTCGCTGGACACTGATGGATAGAGCTAGCGCACCTGTGCAACGCAGCGTAGCACTGTGGCCCTGAACGCTCAGCGACACACAGCAAGACTCACATCAGTCAGGGCGGTAGAAAGTGAAAAGAGTTTCGTCTCACGAGCTCATGACTCGTGTGTTTTCAGCAAACCAAGGTTAAACAAGGTAGCTGTGCGCTAAAGTGTTCCTGAAAGATTTTTTGTTTTTGTTTTGTTTCTTTCTCCCAGAAAACTGGCAGCATGCACGACATGCTCCTGGACGTCATCACGTGGGTGGGGATCCTGTTGTCGCTGGTTTGCCTGCTGATCTGCATCTTCACCTTCTGCTTCTTCAGAGGGCTGCAGAGCGATCGCAACACCATCCACAAGAACCTCTGCATCAGCCTGTTCATCGCCGAGTCACTGTTTCTGGTTGGGATCAACAAGGCTGACCAGCCGGTAAGGAGTGCGAAGTTGGCACACACCCTACTAACAAACAAACTATTGGATAGAAGCTGGGACGAGCTAATGATGGGCGGAACAAAGAATATAAAGTGAAAAAAGACCTTGCATTCATTGAAGGAATTCATGTTTTCACATTTCATGGCAGATTTCTCATATGTGACAGAGACTGTTGTGATCAAATCATGTAAATTACATTAATTTTATGAAATATGAGATTAATGCTCAAAGGATGTGGTAGGGCTGACTTGCAGCCACTGCCATATTGAGCTTTAAATCAGTATCAATAATAAAAAAATGCATTTGACATAGTTAGAACATTTTTTGTGTTGGGTAGTACCTATTACTTCAAAATGTTTTACTAAGAGTTTCATTAAAATCCTCTCGTTTATGAGATACTTTGCTAACTTGACAGACTCATGGACTCACAGACAAAACACATTCTCTTTTGCATTCATCAGCAGGCAATAAGGATAAACTTTTTAAATGTTTTAAGGCTCAAATAGGTCCTTTTGTATTCTTCCCACTGGCGTGACACTAATCCACACTGCATTGTTTACATAATAGGCTCAGACAGGTTTACTTCCCATCAGTGGGTAACCAAATTAGAGTTATTGTACAGTATATTAATGAGAAGCAGCAGCTTCTGAACATACATTATTTGTGAAAATAATCAAAAATGAACTTTTTTTTGTTTTTTTGTTTTTTTTTTTTTCTGGCTGGTTGTCAAACCTGCATGGATTTGCCAACTTTTCTCTCATTAACTGCTGAAGGGTTTATTGTATTTTTTTAACCTAATGCGCATAACCTCTCACTGTCACACTGAGTAAGACTGTGCCTAACATTAATTACAATTTGCAGCTAATTCACAAAGCATAGAGGACCTGGATGGAGTTAAATTGTTGTATAGCTTGAATGGCCAAAGTAATTTAACAATGATAAATGCACAGAGGCCAAAAAGCCTAATTTGCCTGTTTGAAATCCATTCCAAGTCATCACAAAAATGATTTACTACACAAAGTGCACTTCACGCAGCCCCACCATGTAATCTATTACAGCTCACGTGTTTGCTGAGGTGATGTCACTGCTGAGCTTCAGTCTTAATTTGTCATTTTCTCCCTGAGGCTGCAGAAGCTGCAGTCTTGCCTTTTTTTTTTTTTTTTGCTGCAGAATCCTGACGGTTGTGTGGAGGATGTTAAATAAACCATTTCCTAAAACAGAGCGCCACTTGACGCACATTTGTGAATGTGACCTGCGTTTGACCATTCATGTTGGAGAGCTGTTGCACTTAGAGATCTCAGTCTGCCTGCCTGACTGCTTAACAGGAAAAAAACATACCTTGTATGAAGCAGGAGGTGACATGAAGGCCTCTGTAGTTACCAGGAAGTAGACATTGGCAACATTTTTTTTATTTCAAATATTGATTGTGGATGGGTTCACTAAGTAGTGTATTATAAAGTGTATGACCTGCAAACTGAGTGTGGAGCTGCTGGCAGTAACCCAGTCTGGCACAGTAACAGTTTTCACAACATTTTTCATACAATTTAGATTTATATTATAGAAATATGTAATTCAATTTAACTTTACTAACATTCAGGCATACACTGACTCACTTCAAAAACATTATTTAATTTAAAACTTGATGAATTGCATTTTATGCTAAAGTAGAGCGTAAACGCTGCGTGTCGGACAATTTTGCTCAAACTGGCTGAAGAAGCTGAAACTGGGTTACTAAAAGCTGAAAACAAAGTTGGACACTAGCTAAAAGCTAAAAGTAGCAAAAGGTTTGTTAAACAAAGCAACACGTGATGACCTAAATTATAGACAATGTAGTTAAATCAGGTGTTAAAATAAAAGTCAAAAACCTAACAATAGCAAAAGCTAAAAGTAGAAAAAAATTTAGCTAAATTACTATTCGATATATAAAGATGTGATACATTGTAGGCCAAACAGAATAAGCTTGCAGACCATATCTCCCCAATGGGCCATCAGTTGATAATCACTGCTTCAGTCTTTTTGACTGTTATTAATAACAGTAATGTTATTAATACTTATTGCCTAATTGTCTGAAATGAGGCATTTATTTAACAAAAGTCTTGGAAACACACTATGGCTTTCCACTGGAAACATCCCTTTTTGTGTACAAAATTAAATTTAACTTTGAAATCCTAACTACTATTTTTTTTCCTGTGAGCTGTTTGAATCATTATGAGTTGTATGTCCTGTGGGGAGGAAGTGCTGGAGCCTTTCCCCCCTCTCCGCCCCCTGGGTGTACAAGAACAGCTGGGAGGTCTTCCCATCCTGCTGAGTGTCTGTAGACAAAAAGTCAACATAATTTGATGGATGGTGTTTCTTGACAGTGATTCTTTTCTTTTCATGTGTGTTTGTATTTCATGTGTGTGTGTGTGTGTGTGTGTGTGTGTGTGTGTGTGTGTGTGTGTGTGTGTCATAGGCTATTTCTTTGCATTTGTGCATTTTTTTTCTCCTGTTAATCACCGGTGACTATTTTTGACCTCCATTAACATCTTCAGCGTCACTCAGCTCACAGTCAGTTAAGCTGGTTATTCCAGAAGGAAAACTTAATGACTTTTGCATAAGCAGCTATTTTTTTACCTTTGTGTGTGTGTGTGAGTGAGTGAGTGTGTTATTTTTTTGCTTGTGTGTGTGAAAGCACCACTGTGTGATCATTAGAAATGGAAATGAGTGGCTCCCTCACCCCCTAAACTCATTGTCTCACCAACATTAGGTAATTGTCTCTCACTGCCAACTCCTTCATTATAGAATTCTGTCTGTAAGCTTTTTCATTCAGCGATTTAGGAGAGGCGCTTTAAATTAAAACATTGCCACCAACTTGACAAACCAAATCTCATCTCTCATCCTCAGGCAACTTATTGTTCAAGTGATATTATGTTTAACCCTGCTCTAGTGATTTTCTGTTTTTCATATTTTTATTGCTCTATTTTTAAAATGTACTCTATTTCATTTATCACCATTTACATGCTTTCAGGGTATAGCTTAATTGTGAATCTGTAGCTTTTATAAAATGTACACTTTGTCTGCAGAAACACCATGCAAATGTTTTTTTTATATATCCCTAGATTTTTTTAATTATTATTGTCCACACTGAAGTTACTTAGAGCTTTTCCAGTTTTTCAATCATGTGGTTTTTTTTCCTTTTTTTTTTCTTTTTTGGTGCAAAGCTGCTGAGTCATTTTATCTGCAATTCTCTTTATTTCGCCCATCCTTGGCACTGAAAAAAAATCATATTGTAGTTTTAACGGTGTTGCCAAGTAATTCTCCTCACTCACTGATCTGACTCTTGTTCTTTTTTGTCAGCTCTCTTTTGAAAATGTCTCTCTGCTTCTGTCTCAAAAGTGGTCAATCTGCACCGGCTGCAGCACCAACTTCATCTGTAATATTTTCTCTTTTTTTCCCCCTCTCGGGATCAAGGCAGTGAGTAATGGGTGAAGGAGGCTCAACAAACGTTTCTATCTTACAGCAAATCTGAGTCATTGTGGCACCTGGAATTTAACTTTATAGTATACCAGATTTGTGAATTATCTATGCTTTTACAGTATGGCTTCCCCTTTTCTGTTTGTCAGCAGTCAAATTTGAATTCCTTCATACTGCTGTATCTACAATTGGTTAACTTTTAGAGCCAATCGGATTCGAGGTGTCTTCCACAGTCAACAACAGGTCATTTTACAAATACTGACCTAATGTTTGGTGTGTTTGGAGCTGAGACTGATCCCCAACACATGTTCTAAGAAATTTAAAAAATGCTCAATATTGATGTACAGTAGTGGAGTCAATAATCATTGCAAGTGTCTCTACAACTGATTAACCATAGGAACCAACCCATATCAAGATGCCTACCAGTTGACTGACCTTAGAAAATGGGATTTAATTTTAGTTACAGTTGTGCTGAAATTTAGCATGGCTGCTGAGAATCATTAACAGGATACATGCATACCTATACGTGTGTGCGTGTGTGTGTGTGTGTGTGTGTGTGTGTGTGTGTGTGTGTGTGNGTGTGTGTGTGTGTGTGTGTGTGTGTGTGTGTGTGTGTGTGTGTGTGCGCGCGCGTGTGTGTGTGCTGGTTTTGACCCAACGTGTAATCTCTCTCAATCTTTTTCTTCCTCTCACCAGATCGTTTGTGCGGTCTTCGCAGCCCTGCTCCATTTCTTCTTCTTGGCAGCGTTCACCTGGATGTTCTTGGAAGGGGTGCAGCTCTACATCATGCTGGTCGAGGTGTTCGAGAGTGAACACTCCAGGACTAAGTACTTCTACCTAGCGGGGTACGGCGTGCCAGCTGTCATCGTGGCCGTCTCTGCCGCAGTGGACTACAGGAGCTATGGCACCGATCGAGTGTAAGGAGGGCGGCGAGGGACGTGGGGAGAGACGGGATGGATGATGGGGCAAAAAAAAGTGGGGGTGGTGGGGGGACAAAGAGAAAAGGGATGGGGTGCTGAGGCTGGAGTGCCTGCTGTCAATTTGGCTGTGTCTGCCACAGTGGACTCTACAAGCTTTGGCACTTCTCAAGAGTCAACACAGAGAGGCTGAGGAGGATGAAAAGGAGGAGAGAAGTATGGGGACAAGCAGGAGAGGATGCACCACCGAGTGCCTGCATGAGTGCGACAGCGACAATGTGTGAATATGGAAGGATTTAGCAGACGGGAAAGAAAAAAAAAGGTGGGGGTTGGGGGGCATGGTCGAGCAAACTGGGAGAGAAAGAGAGAGGTTTAAGAGTGAGAACGGAGGGATTGGGAAGCACACAGCCTCACTGCTCTGAGCTTGAGCGTGCTGATATGAAGCCGGCCTCTGTGGAAGGAACTGTGGTGAGGAATGAGGACATGCTTAAAAGCGGAAGGTCGTGTGTACGTGCACGCTTGACTTGTTCAACCCCAGACACTGCGGGAGCTCGAGAAAAGGCAGCCGACACCTCATTCTTTTGACGCATATGCAAAATAAGCAACAACAACAATAACACAATAACAGGAGTGAATACCAGGTTTCGCTCGAGTGACCCGTCCACCCTGCTCATGCCATGACTGGAAAAAAGGCCAACGTTCTATTCAAATACATATTAAATGCATAATAAATATACATTATAAATGCTTTTTCCTGACATAACCATGACCTGTCCTCCATTATGGCTGTTTGAAATATAAAGAAGACATTAACAGTGCTGATCCTGCATTTTACTTGTAGAGAGAGAGAAAAGGTCCTTTTAGATTAATAAATGAAAATCAAAAGAAGCAGCTGCTATTAAATGAATCAAATGCTCAGTTGCTCGCATTTACTGTTGCTTCCGAGACCTTTTTATGGTGCAGAGCAATGCAGCATCATGTCACATTGCAGAAGTTATAAGACAAGGGAGGGGCTGAATTTAGACATGTTAAACCATCGAGCTACACCAATTCGCTGGCCACCCAGATCAATATTTCATCGCGAGGTGATTATTAAAGCATGAGAGTCTGAATGCCAAGTTCTAGATGAATAATCTCACTGCATGCCATTAGCCATAAGAGCATTGTGAAAAACTCAGGGTTTAAAAAGAAAAGAGAAAATGAAAAATGATAAATGATGAGGCATGTTTTGGAGGAAAAAAAAGGGATCAGAGCCTCTCAGATATATTAGATGTAAAAGATTCAAATCATCTAAAAAGATTGCTCATAGTAGTTTTTAGGAATATTGAACCCAAGTAGCTTTTAAATAATTCTTTTGCCCTGTGGCCTTCATAGATTTGAAACGTAATTGGCAGAACTATTGTCACTAGAAAGCACTTTCCTTTAAAAAACTGTGCTTTAATGACTCGTTTATTCTTCTCAGCTCGGCCTTGAAAATGACACCGCTTATCATTTTTGACGTAACGCATTGAGTCAAAACACCTGAAAAGATCAAACGCCATCCCTGCCGTGTCACGCTCCACACACCCCCTGTCCCTCCTCACAGCCCCCCACCCCTACGTTTGTCTCAATCACATCCCATAATGAAGGTGGCCATGACTTAGCAAAGGAGCCCTAATGGAGGGTTCGATGACACAGTCAGGGACCCATAATGGAAGGCTCACTAATGTGTTGGAAATTGAAAGATTAATAATTCAGAAGCAGCTGGTCATGAATCAGTTTGGCCATTTTGCTCCAGCGGTTTCTCTCTACCACCTTTCTCTGTAACCAGTTGGGCTTGACCTCAATGGAGGGCACACTGGGAATATTTCTTTCCTTCCCCTACTTACTGCGATTTATTAGTGAAACTGTTTTGGAGTAATACATTTTAGCATAAAATTGTATATCTTTTACCTCTTTGTCAGAAATCGATGGGTGTGTCTGTGTGTGTCTTTTATGTGTGTGCGCAGCAAAACGATGAGCCTGCGTTTGACTTCACAGCCATTCACAGACTCCATAAATAGTCTCGTGATATCTGCATCCGTAGCTCAGTATTCAAATGAGCGCAGTCATGTCGTATTTCTGTGACCATGGATGTAGCCGTATCACATATCTGCGCCCTGCGGGGGGGAAGGAAAGGTTTATTTATCACAGGTGCTCATCCCTCGCTGTCTCCCTCTCTGTGTGTGATGTATGCTTGAGGTGTGCAGATCATCCATTTCCCTCCAACCTGTAACACCTTTCCTATTGTTCTTTATCTCCTTCACTTTTCCTCTCCGTCCAAATCCTTTTTTGTCCTCCCTCTGTCCTGACACATTTCATGTATTGTACTTTTTGTTTGTCATTTTCCACCTTCCCTCATGTGACCGTGATACATGTGATTGTAAATCCTTGCTTGTCGACATCCATCTGGGACTGGTGTATGTTTTTTTCAAATCCCTATGTATCTTTTTTATTCTCCATTCTCCCATTTGTCTTTTCTGTTTTTCATGCATGATGTCTCTGTTTTTTTTTTCTGTCTCCAGATGCTGGCTGCGGCTGGATACGTACTTCATTTGGAGTTTCATAGGGCCTGCTACTCTCATCATTATGGTACGACACACACACTCACACATAAGTGCTCAAACAACCTTGACTGCATGTTCTGCCACATGTTCGTGCAGAAGTGGGAAGTTAAATCAAGGTGTTTTGTTAATCTTGTACAAGGTTCGCCTGAGCTTCTCAGCAGGGGTAAGTAGAAGTGGAGGAAACTTTGTGTCATCTTAAGACTTCCTGTTCGCGGATTAGTTCTCTGGTAGGCGCACATTTCAACAAGCTGGAAAGAGAGAGTGCAAATCACGGTGCCTTACACAGATTATGATAATAACTCTGCAAAGTTATGTAGCTGTTGGGCATTTACTTTGCAGGCTAAGTGTTTGCATTTCCTTCAGACCCAGCTGTTTGACAATAATGCCAATTGAACACAGACTGCGTGGTATTTCCTAGTCCTTTAAAATGGCAATGATGGCAATGAGTTTCAGCAGTCAGCAAATCGTTATGAACAAGAGGAAGAGACATTTCACCTTGGATAACTAAACTGAAATAGGACTAAAAAAATACATTTGACACAAGCAATAAAAACAATGTTCTCAGTTCTCTGCACACTGAGACTCTGAACTCAGTTTAGAAATTTCAGACTATTGCTGATTTAGCTGGAGCAGCAAGAAGGCCACGGTGAAGGAGAAATGATACTGTTATGACCTGCAGCAATTGGTGACACCTTCAGAAACGCAGCCCAGCAGCCCAGGCAGTCATTTCTAAGCTACTTTATCCATGCATTAACAGGCTGATCGAAACAACAACATCAGTGAGAATTGGCCTTCTGTTGTTACAGCGATCATTTAGGAATGTAATGACTGCTGTGTTATTCCTGTAGCTCAAGTTGCTATATCTCGAGCACATAAAAGATTGTTGATTGTTGGCTGATACGGTGCCCCCAAGCTAATTACAGATGGATGAAAAAACTTGATATGATATGTACAGTTAGTGAGCTGTACATTGCTTCTTTGACACAACGTCTTTAATCAGTCTTGTTTCTGCAGAAAATTAACTTGTGTGTTTTTATTTCTGTGTTTCAGCTGAATGTAATCTTCCTCGGCATCGCCCTTTACAAGATGTTCCATCATACAGCCATCCTCAAACCTGACTCTGGGTGTCTGGACAACATCAAGTAAGTTCCTTTGTTTGTACAGGCAACTACACCACTGTGCTGGACTCTTCAAGCAGATGTGATTATATTTTATAAGCCCCACAAGCTACAGGAAAAGTTAGGCTTTTTATTGCAATAAAAACCCATGCTATTCCTTTCAGTTGGAAGTGTATATTATGGTTATTCTCAGTTTTTGTTCTTTTGTATTTGTTTTTTTAGGTATTGACCCCTCAGATGGTTCAAAAGACAAATCCTGATTTATGCATTTTATTTAGGTTATCAAGTAACCTATATATATATATA